TATACTATTGGAGATCAATGTGTAGTTTATTGATAATAAGCACAATTAGTTAACTATCATTGCTATGTATTGTTTTTGAATGACAAGTTAATGGTAACATTATATTGTTATTATTATGGATATTATCATATAATTGGAGATCGTTGTCCAGCATATTAATGGTAATGTGCACAACTAGTTAATAGTAATTGTTATTGTCGTGATGGAATAATAGAAAATAACTGTATTTGCGTCAGGAGAAACGTGTATAGGTGTAATTTTGCCCTACCTGACATGGAAATGTATCGAATACTCAGTACATTTGAAAACAACTGCGAAAAAATCGCAAGTTATTCTCGAGTGGGACTCGAACCGACGATCTCCAGATCACTAGCCTGGCATACCTCTAGACCACCGAGCTTGCGCCAGATGGCCAGGGTTGAATTCAAGCGATATCGGTTAGCAAGTGAGCGCGTTATTATTATCTAACCAATCACACGTACGCGTTTAAAATTTCCAGTTTCTTATTGGCCAGTGATTCGATCATCATATTCTTGGTATTCGGATCGGAATTTTCTCGTGGACGCACGGCAGCTAACGGTTAGCAGGATCCTGATCCTGCTAACCGTTAGCTGCCGTGTGAGAACATAGCCTGTGTCTTGTATGCTGTGCCGTAGATTTCTGTGCGTTGTATGGTATATCGGGTACTGTGGCTTGGTTTCACGAACTGGTGTGACGATGTTACAGGACAGACCCAAAACCAACACGAAGCAGGCATAAGATCGTGACCGTGAGTTTCCATGTATTTGTTTTTGGTTCTTAACATTAAAGTAACAATTGCAAGTATATTGATTATTACTGTACTTACCCTTGCTTGTGTGTAATGTAAAATGTAACTTTATAGCTTCGAAACATTATGGAATTGTAGGTTCTTTGTTATGTCATGTATTATTGTATTATATTGTAGATCTTAGATGATTGGAAGAAGGGGAGAGAGATTGGAAGCACCGGACCAATTGCTCTTTCCGATTGACCACTTGATGCCGGGAATCTCAAACTTGGGAGCTAAACTTATTAAATTGTTATTATGAGGTTTTTTTTATGTACACCCATAGTTTTGCTGAGTTCGTGTTAGCCACGTTAGAGCTAGCTAAGTTCGTGTTAGCTACGAACTCGGGAAAGCTCTATAAAAAGTATGTAAACAACCCTAATTAACAAAACTTCCTATGTTAATTATCGTAATCAGCTTGCTTCTTTAATCAGAAATTCTAAACAACAATACTATGCCAGGCAGGTTGAGGAAACAAAGCTTAATTCAAAACAAACTTGGAATATTCTTAACGACTAAACCAATCTCATCTTTTTATAAAATAAACGATATACACATTTCTGATCCTCAAACTATTGTTGATAATTTTAATAAATATTTTGTTAAAATTGGTCCTGAATACTCGCGTAAAATTCCTCAGCCTGATATTACTTTCAAAAGTTTCATGAATAAAATTAAATCTCCACTTAGATTTTTCTTTTTTTTCACATACAAACAGATGAAATACTCTCAATAGTTAGAAATTTGAAATCTGGTGTTAGTAGCGGCTTTGATGATATCAAGCCTGATTTTGATAAATCAGTTGGTGAACTAATAGCACCACCTCTTGTTCACATTTTTAATTTATCCTTAACTACTGGAATTGTTCCAGAGAAACTGAAAATTGCCAAGATAACAAAGTAGGGAGACTGATACCTTTGGTAATTATAGGCCCATCTCAGTCCTTCCCGTTTTCTCCAAAATTTTAGAACGCATTATTCATAAAATACTCTATAACTATCTTCTCAACGTGACATAATCTATTGTATAAAAACCAATTTGGCTTTCGCCTAAATATGTCTACTGAAATGGCTGTTTTACAGTCATATGATAACATTATTTCCGAACTTAATAAGAGGAAACATGTTTTTGAATTTTCTTGGACCTCTCAATGTCATTTGATACCATAAATCACAAGATTCTACTCTGTAAACTGCATCATTATGGTGTGGTATCGCCTTTGAGTGGTTCAACAGTTACCTTACAGATAGAATGCAATATGTTTCTTTTAACTACCATAACTCATTCTTTTTAAATACTTGTTATGGTGTCCCTCAAGGCTCAATTTTAGGCCCTTTATTCTTTATTATTTACATAAATGACTTAGCCTACATATGTAAACACTCCAATATTATTTTATTCGCCGACGACACAAACTTATTAATTTCTGATGATAATTTAAACTCTCTAGTTTATAATGTTAATTACGATCTATCGATTATTTCATGCTGGTTTAAGGCAAATAAGCTATCACTTAATGTTAATAAAACCAACTATATGATTTTCAGAAATAGATATAGTAGGCCTAACCGTACTTACAAGGACCTTAATATTGCTAAAGATCGTAATAATATTTTGCGTGTTACTAGCTGCAAATATCTTGGTTTAATAATGGATGAATGTTTAACTTGGAATCAACATACAACTTATATTGAAAATTTAGTTTCAAAATATTTTGGTATTCTCTTCAGACTAAAGCCAATTTTACATGTTAATGTTTTATCATCATTATATAAGACCTTAGTTCTTTCTCATATCCAATATTGTAATTTTATTTGGGCTGATCATAACAATTGTTGTCTTGAAACTGTTTATCGCAAGCAAAAGCGCATAATGCGTCTATGTACAAATTCACAATTCCATGAACATTCACCACCATTATTTGCCAGTCTTAATCATTTAACTGTGTATGACATTCATAAGTTATCTAAAGGTGTTTTTATGTATAAATTTAAAAATAATTTATTACAAGTTAATTTTTTCAAATTATTTTGTTAGAGTAAATTCAGTTCATGATTATGGTACCAGGTCCTCCGATATGTACCGTCTACATACTTTTGTTACCGATATGGCCAGAAATACTATCCGAAGGCATGGTCCGATTTTATGAAATAATATTGATGCTTCTATTCGTAATTCAGTATCTGTCAAAATGTTCAAAATGATGTATAAAAATTATTTGTTGTTAACGTATCAATAAAGATCCTTTATATATTTACATTCATGCATGCTTTTATATAGTTCATATCCTGCCAACATGTTTTTGTCACCGTTGTCATGTATCACGTCATGTTCGTCCGTGTAACTGTTATTAATTTTAGTTTAGGTGGCCAATGGTTCAGTACATGAAAATATGGAAGTTTTTGGAAAATTAACTGAAACTGAAACTGAAAACTGAAACTGATGTAGAATTTCACAAAACCTTATTTGATCTACGTACAATTGAACGAGTTTAAAAAGTGAAATTAAGACACTATTAAGAAATAATTTAAGTCTAAGAGTGCAATTTCCGGATTTTGCCGCATCCCTACCTTTTCAACTCAGCTCCCCCCCAACCATGTTGAGGAGAATGTAGACGCTTCTACTCGGCCCTCACGTCTATCTTTTCTCTAAAAAATATTTATGTACGCTTACTGTCAAAATTGACACCATTTATAAAACAGTTTTTATATCTGAAAGTGCCATTTCTGGCCATTTAGAGTTGTCACATTATATTTTTTTACTTCAGCCACACCATAGCTGGATGTTGTTACACCTGGTATTCCCTATTTTTTCTACCCCACAAGTCCACATAAACTTATTTGATCTACTTAAGATTAAACGTATTATTGGCGAATTCGGACACTTTTAAATATATATTTCTAAGCCCGAGAATGCTATTTCCGGCCATTTAGATTTGCTTTTTGTTCAACCATGATGGGGCTGAGGTGGCTGTGCACTCTCCTGGTACCTGCTTCTTCCTCCTACAAGCATCTGTTTCACAAATTATATGGTGTTTACACATACCTCCATGGTGTATATAAAATTACACGTCCTAATGGCAAATTTACAATTAACAATTATTAACTATTAACAATTATTTTAACAATTAATTAATTAATTAATTAATTAAATTTTAATTAACAATTATTTTAACATTTCGTCTTTTTCATATGAATATATATGAATATATTTGTCCTATGTATGCATATGATTTATATAATAGTGAGTGCAAACTAAATTATCGTTTGATAAAAAATACAAGCATTTGTTTCACAAAATATATGGTGTTTACACATGATACCTCCATGGTGTATATAAAATTACACGTCCTAATGGCAAATTAAAAATTAACAATTATTAACAATTTACAATTAATAATTAATTAATTAAATTAATTATTTAATTATTTTAACATTTCGTCCTTTTCATATGTATACATATGAATACATTTGTTCTATGTATGCATATGATTTATACAATAGTGAGTGTAAACTGAATTATCGTTTGATCAAAAAAAGACTGCAATCAAGTGGCTCGTGTTCATACTGCGTCGGTGCCCCTTCGTCACTTAACGCGTTACACATTATCTTGTTTGGCATTTGCTGAATTTGGAACGCCTTGCACTGGTTAATCGAGATGCAGAATTGAAAACAGTGAGCTAAACTTCTTGTCGCTTTACTATCCAGGGTGAAATCGGCTAAGGCGTAGGGAACTAAGCAAGCTGCCTGTCCTGCTTTACCAGACACTTTTCTTGCAAAAGACGAATGTTGTTCTGAATTAATAGACACAAACGGGGTATTTAGAGATATGTTCAATATTGTCCAATAATTATTTTCTCTGTTCCTTATCAAATTTAACCCCTTATAGTCGAATTGACTAAGGTACTACATAACATTTAACCAGGTACACTGTCAAATGTCACAGAATATACAATAAATTACAATTAATGGTGACAACATTAGATCTATTATTTTATACATCTTTCATTCATCATTTAGGTTTGAACTGGGCGGGGGTGGTGATTGTTTAAACATTATTCCGTGAAGTCTTGGGCATTGTTATCGAATTTTATTTGTTTTTTAATATATATTCATAATATATATTTTAAACTTCATTCAAAACAGAGCGATTTACATATTGTTTCTTCACTTTTCCTTCTCTTCCAACAGTGTGTCACCACCCACAAAAGGTACGGTAGATAATGCTCTCTAGCCAATGACTCCTAATTAAAATACCTTGCTCTTAGCCTCTCACTTAAAGGCTTATAGAGTGGAGTAGTTCTTAACACTCACGATGTTAAACATTTTTTAGTTAATTTTCTAACCTAGGACCTTGAAAGTATAAGTGTCTTTGTAGGTTTAAGATCAAGTTACCTATTTCACAAACATATAAATTGAAGTAGTAACTGCAAGGATAATCGTGCCAATTCTTGTCGATCCCGCTACATATGATTACAGCACAATGTTCAGATACACCATCTGGTTGATCTGGTGACCAATCTGGCGAGGGAAAGAATGAAAATACACATAACAAGAACTAATGGCACCTCCAATGTAATAATTATAAATTATTATTATCAATATTATTATTGTCAGAATTATCAATATAATAATAATAATAATAATAATAATAATAATATTATTATTATTATTATTATTATTATTATTATTATCGTTATTACTATCATTATTATTTTCATCAACAACACGGTACATAGGATATTGCCATAACTATCGCCTTACCATCACCATTATCATCATCACCAACACCACCATTATTATTATTATTATCCTCATTATCATTATCATCATCATAATCATTGGAGTTTAACACTAGGGCGCGATTTTGCAAAATACAATTACATACTTATTCATTCATTCATTCATTTTTTCTTTATTCAGCCGAGCACGTACATTTACAATAACAATGAAATAAGACAGAAAAGAGCAATCAAATTGGACAAGCAACATATTAAACAATTAGGCCTATTACCTAAGTTGGCTAGGATTGACTCTAGCTCAAGCCATTCTTCGGATATTATACAGATTTGTAATACAGTTGTATAAATAATTTTTTTAAATAAATTAATAAAATAAAAATAAAAATTAGAAATCAAATAAATTCCTTAAAATAACAAATCTAGGCCTACAAAGATAAATAGGGTGTAATTGTATAAATAATAAATGGAGAAGGAATCAACATTAAAAAGTGCACCTACATCAATGAATATACAGTATTTATGAACAGTTTAAACAAAGAAGTCGTGAATCATAAAAATTAATCTAAACCAAATTCCAATAAAGCACAATTAGTTAAAAAAGTGGAATAAATATTTTTTTTAAATAAATAAATTTAATATGTATTAGCAAAAAAAAAAAATGAATGAAATGAGATAAAATGAAATAAAAAAGAAAAACAAATTAATAGATAATATTAAATAAAGAAAACAGTAAACT